TGTAAAGAAAAGGATGCCGAAGTTTACTCCAGTGATAGAAGATTGAGAGAGGGCGAAGATAAGTCAGGAAGTGCAAATTTTTATTTTATCTTTCTGATAGGCGTAATCTTTCAAACCGTTTTGCAGGCGCTTAGGACAATAGCGAATGCATGCAAACGATTACGATACCTTGACCTGACAGGTTGTATGCGCTCCCTAACCGATGAAGGTCTTCGTGAGCTTGCAAAGCTTCCAGCGCTTACTCATTTAAACATGTCGCATTTGAGAATTTTGACCGATGAAACGATCCAAGCTATTGCTCGTCGGGGTGTTTTGCAAGTAAGTCCGCATTCAAGCATATTTCGTGCCAAGGCAAATGATCTCCCTCTCTTTTTATGCGTTTTGTGCTGCGTAATAGCAGTACAAAACGCATATTGTCACGGGGTTGTCTGTGTGTGTGTCCGCAGCAACTTTTCCGCAACTTTCAACTCTCGAACCACGAAAGCTAAGAAGCTGAAAATTGAGGGGAACGTTCCTCAGCCACTTGCGATCCTGCAAATTTAAATTCAGCCTCCCTGTAGCCACGGGTAACAAGCACAGCCCGGCAAAAGTTTAGGTGGGTAAAATTATTATCACGGAAACCACGTAAACTAGAAGGCTGAAATTTTGTGGACATGCCCTCCGCCCATTTGCTACCCAGAAAATCAGAATTCACCTTTCCCTGCCCCCGGGTAATAAGTGCGGCCGCGTGAAAGTTTTTGACGGATAAATTATTATCTCGGGAACCACAGAGTCTAGGAAGCCGAAATGTTGGGTTAATGACCACCTGCCCACGCTCAATCTTGCCTACTCAAATTCAGCGTTCCCACACTCTCGGGTACCATCTATGGCCTCGTGAAAATTTTTGCGGGTAAATTATCTTGGGAACCATGGATGCTAAGAAGCTGAAATTTTACGGTAATGATCCCCCACTCACGCTCGACCTTGCCTATTCAAATTCAGCGTTCCCCGCGCTCTCACATATCACCTACGGCCTCGTAGAAATTTTTGCGAGGAAATTATTATTTCGGGAACTATAAAAGCCAGGAAACTGAAATTCTATG